ACTAATGCAAAGGGCATCCACCCCTTTGCATCAGTGCATGATGAAGAGGTTTTCAGAGCTAGTGTGGATTTTTAGCTACACATGAGGTGGAAATCAGATGTAGGCTGGTTCTGTCACCTGCTCACAAGCATCACAGTCTTCTCTGTCTTCTCCAGTGCCGCTACCTACTTTCAGGAAGTTTCCAGTCAGCCTCAAGTTCTTAATTCAAAAAGATTCACAAATTGGCAATTGCTGCTCCCTTGATGTTAGTGGCTCTGGGCCTTGAATGGCACACCTCTTAGCTCTTAGTGTTACAATCCTAGTGGCTCCGTAACCCCCTGCCCCCCACCACCTGGCAGCCAGAGCTTGTGGCACTCTCGGTAGCTTTCTGGAACTCTACAGCAGCTCCTCACCCTTCTCTGCATCCGTGCCATAGGTCTGCACAGGTCTCTGGAGCAACTGAGCAGCACTGTGGCCGCCAGTTGCACTCAGGCCACCTTCATAGTGTGACCTGCCCATACCTCTCTAGCCGAGAGAGAAATCCTAAGTAGGCAGTGAGGTCCCCAAGGGGAGCTATGCTAACCTGCGCTACAGCAAGCAGGGCTGTGCGCAGGAACGAGCACTGTTATGCAGGGGAGGAGTAGCCCGGCCATGTGCAGTCTCATGTGGCTTGTGGGGTCGGCTTTATGACTGCAGAAGTAGAAGTAGAGGATCCTTTGAAGAGGATGCAGTCATTTGAAAAAGAATGCCTGAAGCCTCTTGTAGCCAAGGCAAGTATCTCTTGGAGCATGGGATATTGTCTTTGACGCCAGGTGAAAGCTCGGTGGAACTGCAGAAGCAGCTCCTTGATTGACAAATCCCACTGTTGAAAAAGAAGCTACAGAGCTGAAATTATCACGACTTTTCTGCAGTGTCCAGGAGGGAGGCAGTGTAGCCCATGGCCCAGTAGGGTCTGGAGGAATTGTGGATGAGGGTGACAGCCCCTGTTCATTCTGTTCCCTGTCTACTCAGTTCCATTCTATTCTTTGAGCCTTCACATGGAGTTCTCAGACACTCCTCATAGAGGCAGTATTAGCAGCAGGAGTGGAGGGGGCTGTGTCTCAGCCTCCTGGGGCGGCAGGAAGAGCAGCAGCTTGGAGGATGGCTGCAGAGGTGACAGACTGCAAGACTCTGGAGCTAGTCAAGAGGGTGGGTCTGACTATCAGTGACATCAGCCCCCTCAGGCTGTAGGGAAGAGGGAAGGTTTGGGTCTTGCCAGCTTCTGTCACACAGAGAGAACCTATGACATGCAGACAGCAGTATCGATTTGTTCATTCATTCATTGTTTTTTTTGTCCTGTCCCCCTCCACCTCAGAACTGGGACTCAAACTCGACCTTACGCTTGCCAGGGAGGTGCTGTCACTGATCTATATCCCCAGCCCCATTCACAGGATCTTGAGACTGGATCTCGCTATGCAGTTCAGAATGGCCTTAAACTCACTGTGTAGCCCCCATCTGGCCTCAAACTTGACTCCCCACCCCACAAAGCATAGCGTACTTTCTGGTTCTGTCCTGTGGATATAGCTGTGCCTATTTGCTTCACAGTATATATTATCCTCAACTTTCCTCTTAATTATGTTTTAAAAATGGTTTTCCTGGGGCTGGGGATTTAGCTCAGCGGCATAAGCACCTGCCTTGTAAGCAGGCGGTTGTGAGTTTGACCCCCGGTACCGATAAAAAGTTAAAGAAAAAAAAAAAAGATGGTTTTCCTTTGAGCAGCCAGAATCAGCCCCAGTAATCCTCTGTGTTTCCTAAATAAGTGAAAAAAACAGATGCATGGTAAGTTAGTCCTCCTCACTAAAGAGTTCCTGCAGAGTGAGATTCTCCCGTACTTAATGCATGGTTTGGGGCTCCTTTAAAAGAATTATTTACTAATCATAGGTGTTTGATTCTGATACATCAAAATATACGTTCAAGGCCAGCTCAAGTCGTTGTCTGATAATCTCAAGGTTGTGAGTTTGATCCCTATTACCAAAAAAATTAAATTAATTAAAATAAAATATTTGTTCCCACACAATTCTGGGTTGAGAAAAAAACCTACCTCCTGCTTTAGGAATGTGGCCCTGATAAGGCATCTTGTTATTCAAAATATGCAGCATAGCCTGCTTATAAATTGAGTGTAGATTGGGGTTTGTGGGGTATAGCTCACCTGTAGAGCATTTGGCTGGCTTGCTCAGGGCTCGACGACGTTCAGTCTCCAGGTACAAAAACATAAAAAAAAGGGGGCTGGGGATACAACTCAGTAGTAGAGCACTTGAATGAATGAAGACTAGAATTCAATTCCCAGTACCAAAAGGGAAAAAAACAAAAACCAATGGTGACAGTAAAATAATTAGAAGTGTTAAATTTGTGCCAGGTGTAGTAGTGATGCACTTGGGTAATCCCAGCACTCTGGAGGCTGAGGCAGGAGGAGCACTGTGAGTTTGAAGCCAGCCTGGGCAACATAGTTCAAGGCCAACCTGAACTATGTTAGAGACCCTATCCCAAAATAATAAGAAGAAAGAACGAACTTAGGCAGGAATTCGTAAGTCATCAGGACCAGTGGCACTGCCCTTAGTAAGATGTTCCGAACACTCACTGCAGTTTGGTCTGAGATGAAGTTGCTGCCGTTAGGCTCCTGAGGAGTAATTTCTCCCATTCCCGTGTGTGTGTGTGTGTGTGTGTGTGTGTGTGTGTGTGTGTGTGCAGTTCAGGAATGCAGACTGTCTGTTTTTTCTTCTTGGAGCTGAAAGGGCTCTTATCTGCAAGCAGGGCACTGAGGACTATACTCTTTCCTGATGAACACCCTAATTTGACTGCCACTTTTTGAACAATTCCCTTAAGAATCAGTACAGCTTCCATGGCAAACTGATATAATTTCTGTTTACCAGCTGTGTATGTAAAATAGGTTTATAGAAACTCTTATAGCAGGACAAATAAGTTATTATCTTTTGTTTTTTAATGTCCCAAAGGAAAACCTGCTCCTTTTGGTGATGCTTAAGGAAGAGAGACCTCTTTTAGTGCTGAGGGAGAACATGGCCACGTTGATCTTAAAGGACTTTACTGAGTAACTGTATGGCACTAGGCATTTCCCCTTTACACTCCCTTTGCTTCCCTGTGCTCCTATGGTACAGAAGGTCACTGCATTTGTTAATATTATTGTTATGCTTTCTTTTTTTTTTTTTTTTTTTGAAACAGGGTCTCACTGTGCAGTTCAGGCTGACTTTGAAATCACTATATAGAGCCCAGGCTGGCCATGAGTTCATGGTGTTACAGATGTGTACCACCATGCCGGGCTAAGTGTGTATATTTTAAGAGTAGAAAAGAATATATAGCAATCAAATAGTGCCACGCATGGTGGTGCAGACCCGTGTCTATAATCCCGGCACTTGGGAAGCTGAGGCAAAAGGAATACTGTAAGGTCAAGGCCAGTCTGCACTATAAAGTAAGACCCTACCTCAATGAAACAAAATAGAACACCTATGATAATAATATTAGGACAGTAGATATAAATCCACATTAATTTCTGGGTAACCTGTAATTTTTAAATAATGTAAATAAATCATTTGTCATAAATAATTTTAACAGTATATAAATTTTAATATGTAGATACACATATATGTATAACTATTTAGTCTTTTTTTTGTCTTTTTGAGTCAGGGTTTTGTTATGCCATTCAGGCTGGCCTTGAGCTCACTTTGTAACCTAGGCTGGTCTCGAACTTGCAACAATCCTCCTTCCTCAGCCTCCTGAGTGATGGGATTAGAGGCATATACCACCACACATGGCTGTGTACTTATTTTTTTTATTTATTTATTTTTGAGACAAAGACTCACTAAGTAATTAAGGCTGACCCCAACCCAGTGGCATGCAGCATGTAATTCCAGCACTCGGGAGGCTGAAGCAGGAGGATCACCATGAGCTCAAGGCTAGCCTGGGCAACAGAGCAAGACCCTGTCTCAAAGAACAACAACAACAACAAAAGTGTAGTTTAGACTCAAACGTGAACTCATAGCAGTATTCTTGCTTCAGTCTCACAATTGCTGGAACTACAAGGATGTATCATCACAGTCATTATAAAATATATCTGTGTCTATAATTTATGTCTATATCTGTATCTTAGCTGAACATGGTGATGTGTACCTGTAATCTAGCCCTTTGGGAGGCTGAGGCAGAAAGATGAATAGTTTAAGTCCAGGCTAGGAAGCTTTGATAAGTAGCAAAACCCTGTCTCAAAAAACAAATGGTGGGCTGGGGATATACTCTCAGGGGCACAGCATCTGCCTGGCGAGCATGAAGTCATGAGTTTGATTCCCAGTACTGGTGGGAAAAAAAAGGAAAAAGGGCTGGGGGTGTAGCTGAATGCAAAGGGCCTGAGTTGAGGAGGGTATGTGTGTATGCGTAGCCAGGCGTGGTGGCACACACCTGTAGTTCCAGCACTCAGGGGACTAAGGCAGGAGGCTCACCGAGAGTTCGAGGCCAGCCTGGACTACAAGATGAGATCGAGGCCAGCCTGATACCCATGTGACCCCTACATATTGATATCAAGTACGATGTAATGAGGAAGTTCCTATTTCACAGTGACAAAACATAGGTAGAGGTGAAGATGGACCAAAAAAGGATGTAGCTCAGTGCTAGAGCACTCCTGGGTTTATCCCCTTACTAAGAAACACAATCCCTCCTTCCCTCCCTCCCTTTTCTTTCTCTCTGCATCCTGTACTGAGATCCAGTCTAACGCCTTATGCACCCCACCGCTGAAGTACACTCCCCATCAACACATGATCTTTCTTTTTTTCCTTTGAGACAGGTTCTCACTCTGTGTTTTAGGTTGGCCTTGGACCGAGCGTGTAACCCAGAACTTGCAGCCGCCCTCCTGCCTCACCTCCCGAGTGCCGAGTGCCGCAGTTATAGGCGTGCATCACCGTGCCCCATTGTCGTTTGAACAATGACTGTGCACTTTTGCTTAAATCTGGCAGCTCACTGTTGTTTCTTCTTCACTGCAGTTGCGGCAGTCCCAGTCCTACTGCACCGACACAGAATGTCTTCAGGAATGTAAGTACCAGTGGGTTGGTCTTGGGGACCCACCGAATTAGAGGCTGTTTGCCTCTCTAATTGCCTCTAAGGAAATGGCTCTCAGTAGTGTATTTGCTACTTAAATATTTTTCTTTTTTTTTTTTTTTTTTTTTTTTTTTTTGGTATCGGGGAGTGAACTCACGACTTTGCGTTTGCCATGCAGGCACTTGTGCTGCTGAGCTATAGCCCAGCCCAGTATTTCATTTTTAAATTTAAATTTGTTTTTGCTTATTTTACAAACCATGTCATTGAAGAACATAATAAAATCACACAGATAAGAAAATAAAAACTTGCAGCATACTGCAGAATAACCACAGATCGCCTGCGTACCCTCCCAGACCGTTTTCCTGGTGAACATATTGGTAGCAGGGCACAGTGGGTTAACGGGAGCAGCACCCATGTCATGTTGTCTGTGCCTCTGCCACACCTCGCATCTGTGTTCCCTGCTGGCTCAGGAACTTCTGATGGAGGAGGCTCTGGGGGCCGTGGAGTTCACTGCCTTGGCTCTCCAGTAGCACCCAGGAGAGTGTGGTGGTGAGGAGGTTTCTTCTCACAGTTTTATGGGCAAAGGTAATGTGCAGGTTAGAATCGGAACAGGAAGGTGAATCCTAGGCAGTAAATGTAGTTGGTGCACCTTCGGTGGCACATCTGCTCTTGTGATACTGACAGATAGCTTGAGGTATGCCTTAAGGAAACTCAAGAAACTGGCATTTAAGCCAGTCTAACCTAACCATGTTCTCTAAGATGGTGAGAAGGGAAGTAGGAGAGCTGGGCATGGTAGTGTGCGCCTGAAATCCTAGTACTGTAGCTGAGGCTGAGACAAGAGAGCCACCAGTCTGACCTACGTTCAGGCCAGCCTGAACTACATAGTGAGACCTTGGCTCAAAAAAAGAAAGAAAGATAGCAAAGTATGACATTGACAGAATGATGCTGTCTGGCACTGTTACATTTATTTTTAAAATTTTTTTAAAACTTTTGTAGTTAGGGCCTCGTGCATGCTGAGCATGTGCTCTACCACTAAGCTACGTCCCACCCCACAACTAGGTTTCACATGCACCTACAGAAGTGGACTCACTCTGGGTTGTTCTTCACAACTGTATTATAAATAGATTTGTGTATGTTAAAAATATTTACTGGACTAGGGGTGTAGCTCAGTGGTAGAGGACTTGCCCACCGTGCACACACAAGTGCTGGATTCCATTCCCAGCACCACCAGAAACCAAAACATGTGTTGACCAAGTAATAATTCACTGTGTGGATGCGCCAATGTTTAATGATTCCCTTTTTGTGGGAATCTTAGATTGCTGAGATATTTTTAACTTCTGTAACCATTACTTCAACAAATATTCTTTGTATGCACATGACAGGAAAGAAAACAATTTTTTCTTTAATCCTCATAGTTCTTAGCCAGGACATCTGTAACAGAAAGCAAGTCAACGGGGGAAGAAAACAAACACACTCTTTTATGTGGGTGGTGCACGTTGTTCCTGGCATGCATGAGGCCCTGCGTTCTATCCCCAGAACTGCAAAAAACATTCTATCCCCAGAACTGCAAAACTTTTTTAAAAGATTAAAAATAAATCTAGCCAAGTATGGTAGCACATGCCTATAATATCCCAGAATTTGGGAGGCTGAGGCAGGAGGATTCTAGTGAGTTCAAGACCAACCTCAATTGTACAAGACCCTGTCTCAAAAATAAATGAATAAATAGCCCTAATTTAGTCTGTCAGATAGCTTGAAAGCAGCAACTCAGACCTGTCCTCCTTAGTGTCTGCAATCAAGAGCAAAAAATGTGGGAGCTCTGAGAGGACTTGAAGGAAAAGAGGAGTTAAGCTTGCAGTGACAGGTGTTTCCGACTGCCCCGGTGTGCTCTGCGCCGAGAAGAGTCTGAAACCACTTTTGGTGAAGCACTTACATCCTGCCTTTCGGCAGAAAAGGGAGGAGTTTCAGGAAGAACCTTCACCTCATTTGATTTTTCGTAATTACTTTCAGCTCAAAAATAATGATTTTAGGCCAGGCTAAGTGGTGCATACCTGCAATCCCAGCACTCAGGAGACTGAGGCAGGAGGATTGCCAAGAGCTCGAGGTCACCTGGGCTACAAAGTGAGTTGAAAAGGCCAGCCTGAAGTGTATAGTGAAACTGCCTCAAAATGACTGTATGTCCTATTCTCCTGTGCTGACCTTTTTTTTTTTTTTTTAATTGGTTTTTGTTCTTTTCTGCCTCTCGTTTATAATGTCTATATCTTTTTATGTATGTTTCATTGTGGAACAGTGTTCATTGTGATACAAGAAATGTCATTTGTTCATAGAACCAACTGCAGATAGATTTAAAATTATTAAAACAGAGGCCAAAGGGTAGGTGTTGGAGAAATGTGTGTTATTTATAGAATCTCATACAGGCTTTAGCATTGGGCATTCAATATAGGTTAGGTTGTGTTTTGTTTGTTTGCCTTTGCGACAGGGCCACTGTGTAGTTCAGGCTGGCCTTAAACTCACAGTGACCCTCATCCCTTGGCCTCCTTGGTGTTGGGATGACAGGCATATGCCACCATGCCCAGCTGATTTGGGTTTTTAAGATTGTAATTTTATTTCGGTGGTGTGATTACTAATGGCGCCCAGTAGTCACCACTCCCTTTAATAATTCTCTAGGACTTTTGCGTTGATTATTCCTTTTGTTGAATCTCTACCGTTGATATTTCTAATACTTAGCACATAATTTTTGCCTTGTGCTGCTTCTAAATAATGTTAGTGTGAGAATTGGTTTTCAACATTTTATGGCAGTCTTACCAGTTCTTCCTAAATTTATGTCTGTCATTTATTTTCCTCTAATTCCAGCTTTGTAACTCCTGGCTTCTTTCTGGTGCTTTTCTGTCCTTCTGACTTTTTTTTGAAACTCAGGGCCTTGCACTCCTAGGCAGGGGCTCTCCTGCTGCAGTCCTGTCCCGTCCTCCTCCTGACTCTTCCTTCCTCTCCCACCATCCTTCTGCGGGTCTCCTGGCTCATTCTCCCACCTCCTGTGTGCCTCCTGGCCTAACCCTGTGTCCCAGCTTCGCAGACTCCACATCTGCAGAACTGAGCTCAGAGCCTCCTCCCAACTTGTCCTCTTGCAGTCTCTCTACTAACAGTAATGCAGCTCTTCCTTTGGGGAGCCATTTTTGACTCCTCTTCTCCTTGGACTTGATAGCTACCTGTTAGCAAGTACTACCGTCAAGATACGTCAGAAATTCTGCCACTTTCACCAACCCCTGCCTCCTCCCTGTTCTGTCACCATCTCCTGTAAGTTGAACAGTGAGTTCTTAAATGTCTGCCTGTTGCTCCTTTCTCAAACATACCTGTCAAAATGAGAGTTCCTCCTCTTTCATGGGGAAAACACCTCAAGCGTTTCTATTCAATGAATAATAGAGCCAAAATCCTTATTATGTCCTGTAAGGCTTACATGGTCTAGCTCTAGTTACTCTTCTGTCTAATCTTGTTTTGTATCCCAAACCCAGCCCACAGCTGAACCCTGTTCAGCCCACCTGATACTGTTGGCCTCCATGAGCTCCCACAGACTCCTGCCTCAGGAGCACTGTCTGGAATGTGCTATCTGTTACCCACAGTTGGCTTTTTACATCTTTGCTCCAGAGTTGCGTCCTCAGCAAGACCCCTTTAGCCCTGCATCTAAAATGTCTGTTCTTTCCCATGCCATTGCCCTTTTTTTGGTTTTCTGTTTAGCACTTGTATATTTTACGTATTTATCCTGTGTCAGCCCCTGTTGTAAGTTCCTTGAAAGCAAAAATACACAGAACTGCGTGATATCCTTTTTCAATTTTCTTCTGCCTCTTTAGCACTAGAGCATAATTTCCTATTTCTGTTTCTAAATCGTGCATCCAAACCTTGCATGCTTTAATATCTTCCTGCCTCTCTTACACCTTGCAGCAGTGGTCGCATTTAAATTTTTATTATCATATTTGCATTTTATGGGAAGCAGCCATCTGAAGAGTATCTCTGTGTCTGTCTTAGAGCAGCCTTTCAGAGGGAAGGCCTTGTGGATCAGCAGTGGAGTGTGCCTGGAAGACACAAGGCCCTTGGTTCTGGCTCAGCACCACAGAAAAACAAGTATCTAGCCAAGTATGGTGGAACAGGCCTCTGATGCCAGCACTTAAGGGACCACGGCAGGAGGGTTACCAAGAGTTTGAGGTCAACCTGGGCTACATAGTGAGTTCAATGTCAGCCTGAGCTTCACACTGTCTTAAAAAAAAAAAAAAAAAGAAAACAAACCAATATCTGAGGACACACATCACTCTCCCCTCTACTAAAGTCTGACTTTCTATTTATTGGAACATTATTTGCAATACCCAGAAAACTAGCTTAACCTATAATTAAAGTTCTTAAGGCTTAGAAATTTTAATAACAATTTTAATCTTTTTAAACAGTGTAAATATTGGAACAAATATTGAAAAGATCAGTATTAATTTGGACCTGTTGGTAAGCAGGATGTAACCTTTAACCATATGAATCTCTGCAGTGAGCCAGGTGGCACAGGGCTGTTTTCCCGGCACTGAGTGGCTGAGACAGGAGGGTCACAGGAGATCAAGGCCAACCTCCTGTACATAACAAGACCCTGTCTCCAGCCAGCACAAACAGAAACATCCACAGAGGTATAAACATGAAATGCACTTTTAGGGTTTCATTAAATTTTTTTTTTTCCTGGGGATTAAGCCCAGGGCCTTGTTCATGCTAAGCAAGCACTCCACCACTGAGCCACACACCCCCTTATTTTCACAGAATCTGTATTTTAAAAATTAATTATTGTGAGAGAAGATCTTGTTAAATTGCTGAATTATCCAGATTGAGTTTAAACTTGTGATCATCCTGCCTTAATCTCTCAAAGTGCTGGGAGTATACCACCATGCCCAGCTCTTTTCATAAAATCTTAAAGTTGGAAGAGATGTTAATGATATTCACACTTACTTTTCATTTACTTTTTTCTCTTTTTT